TCAAAAGTGAAAACACAGTAGCTGATGTTCTAAATCTAGTTAGGAAAAAAAAAGCGGGGGGATTAGCTGCAAAGGCAGTATTTTTTTCATTACATACTGTTGTATCTGGGGTCAGTAATTGAAGAGAAAGCTGGTACGGTCTCTTAGTTCGTTTTTGGGAAGGATTATATTGTATTTTCATTATAAACTTTTCAGGACAAGTAACAATGTGGAGAGGTAGGGAAGCATCTCTTAATGCTAGTGGAAAAGTTAAAAATACTTAATCCCCTTTTACTTTGGTAACATACTTGTAAAGTAGCCCGACTGTTTTTCGGTGTAGACGTACCTACGTCTTCTGGTTCCAAAACCATGTCCAGTTTCCTCTCGTCTCTAACTTACTGCCTTGCTAGAAAGTGTAACTTCAATCTGTAGTGTTTTGCATGAAGGTGGTACTTAGACTTTGTTTTGCCAAGGGGGCAGGATTGCACGTACTCTTTCCACAGCCAAAGAGATCCGTTTGGTAGGCAGACAAACAGGGATCAGAATGGGGATGTCAGACGTGCTTGACTCTGCCCAGTCCGCATGTTGGGCCTTGCAAAGCAGAAACCTTGATCCTCACCCAGCCCTTCTGCAGGCAGCACGGGCAACGCGGGGCTGTAGAACGGGACAGCTTTTCCATTTGTTTACTGACCAACCTCGTTTACTGCTTGGGAAAGGGAGGGAATGTTTCTAAACTCAAATTTATTGCTTTGGCAAAGCTGGGCTGGCAGTTTTGGCTGTAATATATAGATCTGTCTCTTATTATTCTGTCTTGTGAATCATATTAAAAATAAATGAGAACTAAAGTTCATTCCCTATGCCTGCCAAACAAGGGAAAATTAGGTGACCCGATTATGTCCATTTGCAGTGTGTTGGATGCAGCAGGACAAGCTTGTAGGATTTAGTCTTTTAGCACAGTTTAGTGAAGAATGTGATCATTTCAGACTAAAACTACAGCTTTTGAAATGCACAGGTTTTCCTTTTTCGTGAGAAAGGCATTGAATAATGGCATTGGAGAGTAGAAGCATGCTTAGCTGCAAAATAGGTAAGGTATTGGCAGCCCAAACGTTCCTGTTGGCTTTGCACATCTGCCTCACCCTTACCTGGAGAGACCAGTTCCAGACTTGATAGAACAGTGCATTCTGTATGGCTTCATCAGCCTTTGGCATCGCTTCCTTTAGCGCTAGTCATTCAGGATATGATTTCCAGAAATTCAGCTGAGACCCCAGTACTTCTTCGCTTAAGCCAATAGGTATTAGTGAATGTGTAACTGGGCTTCTGAATAGCTTTGACTATTCATTCTTTTGAATGAACAGCTTTTTGGTTGAATTCTGTTAATGCTGTGGGGATTCCTTCAGTCCAGTACACGGCGGTTCTTGTTTTTCTATCTGCCTGTCTGGCTTTTTGTGCTGAAAATACAGATTGAAATGTTATTTTTCAGGGCATGTTTCTCATATGCAATATAATATATCTGGCAAGAATAGGTAAATAAATTAATTCCTGGTTTTAACTATAAACACTAGGATTCATTAGTGCTGTTGATGAAAGTTTGTTTATGGGGTACGGGATGTGCAAAATTTGTTTTTATCTTTGTTGATCAGCTGACATTCAACTGCCAGCATCCTGCGTTTGGCATGTTGCATCCTGATGCTGGTTTAATTTCCTTATGCTGTTGTAACTCAGTGACATGTACTTTAAAAACATGTTTCTTTGCAATTAGTGTGCCTTACATTTTAGCTTAAAAACTCATTTAACTTAGTGATGTTTGGGGAAGCAGCGTGATCTCTTAAGTGATAGAACCTAAAGCTAGGACTTTGTCATTTTTCCATCTCCCATATGGATATCTCTAAATTTGTAAACATTACTTCACTGCTTTTAAGTTTTTATGTATGTTAAAAAATACTCTTTGTAGCAATCTCTGAACCAAGTGTAAACCATTGTAAGGAAGTAGAATTATTCAGGACAGAAGGATAAGGATGGATTGAAACTGGAGTCTTTGTGCTTAGAATAGTTTTCATTTCATTTTCATGGTAAAGTGCCTTGCATGGTTTTAACTGTTCTTAAATCCTGGCTGGGAATGTAAGCCCATTGGGGCAAGAAGAATTTTGATGGTAAGTTTGAGAAATGTTTGTATGTTCTTGTATTCTAGTGACACCTAAGTTGGAAAGTGTTCAGGGTTTTGTGGTTTTTTTTTTTTCCTCATACTTGTGGGAGTGCATGGTATGAGTTAAGCTTTGACAGAACCTCATGACCAGGAGAAAATCTGAATCTTGCTTTCCGTGGTAGAAGTGCTGATTTGTGTGATGAGCCCAAGCAGCTCTTTGTAGTACCTGCGTAAGTGTAGAGAGGCTTGTGTGAGGGTAAAGTGATACAGACCTGCCTGAGTCCTGCAGCATGAATAGACTAAATGAAGCAGTCACCGCTTGTTTAGACAGAGACAAAAAATTGGAACTGAGCGTAGGCAAAATAAACGATGTCCTGACCTTGCAGGAATAGAAGGTGGACATAGGTGATCAAAGAAGCAGAATTTAGAGCTGGTAATTGCAACTGAAGCAAAGAATTACCGGACCTGAAAAATGCTTCAGGGGTGGATCATTGTGTAGCACACAGGTCTACTGGGACTCGTAAGATTGTGAACAGGACTCGTGCTAGTAGTGATTCAGCTGTTCCTCAGCTGTCTTGCTAAACTCTTGCTCATATTTTGCACTTCTTCCCTCCCACCCCCAAAATATACAGTTGCAAAATATTTTTAGATCTTATTTCTTAGGGTTCGTTAGAGATGAATGTGGAAATGTTGATGTGTGGTTGAAAATGATGGAAGTGTGAGCTGCCATTTAGAATAGATAGGAACAAATTGGTAGGAGAACCTTTGTGTGGCTTTGGACTGGTCACCAGGCCTCTTAGTCTTATTTTTTCTTATACTTTTAGGAAGAAGTAATGAAACCTGATTTTTTGTTTATTTACTTCAGTCATTTTTGGAACTGTTAGCAGTAAAGGTGCCTGTTATTCAGAGGATGTGCCCTGTAGTTCAGCAGAGAAGTTCTCAAGTTCTGGTGTGCAAGCTTGATGTTCCACCCATGTATTTGCTGTGATAGCGGTGAAGTGAGTTCAGCGGGGGGCAGCCGCGTGGATCGGACGACGACGGCATGTTTTGAGTGCTGCTGCTGACTTGTAGAGGGACTAGACTGACTTTTTCTTGAAAGTGCAACTGTCTGTGATATAAGACATGGTCATGAAAATGGCCTGTCTGTGGAGGCTGTTTCGGTTCTCAGCTGAATTCCTCTGAGTTTACAGGGTTAGGAAAACATTTGAGCTTTCTGTTTTCGTTTGTATTTGGTGTTAAATATAACAAATGCGTAAATTACTATTATTTGCAATTTGGGGTGTGCGTGGGGAATTTAAATGGTAACTATAAATATGCTGTTACTGTCAGTAGGATAGAAGTGCATCTCAGAAGTGGTTACTTCCCATGCTCTAATCCTTTTCTTTAGGAAGGAGTTCACACAGTTGTGTGGTGAGTATTTGTACAGTGGTGGGGGGTGTGTGTGTGTCTTTGAAGTCCATAGAAATGAGAACAGCAATTAGTTACTGCAAATGCTCCTGTTGTCAGTGCTGTACATAATCTTTCTTGGGACTGCATTGCATATTTAGGGGGCAAGAACAGTGGGAACTAGTTAGTGAGGTAGGGTTTAAATAATCCTTTCAGAGCAGGCAATTCCTCTCCTCTGGAGAGGTGAAATGATTCTTTTAAGCCATTGATAAAGCTCAGCTGCTTCCAACACTTGTTAGTAAGAGACATTGTAGAAAACCTATGGGTGAAGCTAGCAGGTATTTTGGATTCAGCATTTCTCTGATGAACCTGGTGTACAGAACAGTTGAGTAGCTCTGGCTACTCCTGTCTTGTTTCCCTGCTAGTCGTGACATCTGCATGGGGTGGTGAACAGCCGTGAAAGAAACTGGATTAGCCTAGATCCACCTTTGCTTGTTGACCACAGATGGGGGGGAAAAAAAAAATCAACTATGTTTGGTAAATTTAAGCTGGACTTTATTAACAAATGGTGCAGGCATGCATACCTTCCCTAATCAGAAACTCTTAATTAAGTACAGCGACTTATGCTATTAATTACATGATTCTAGCTGCAATCCTGTCCTAAGTAGCAGGCACTTGCTATTTCCTTGCACATTAGAGGGCTTGAACTGTCGCTTCATTTGTGAGATTAAGCTGCTTGTCTTAAAGGCTAATGTGATGGATAGGAAGAGTTATAAATTCTTACCATGCCCTGATACCCAGTGTCAGTTGTAAAATATGTTCAGAAATATGTCACGAGTGTTAAAAAAAAAAAAGTGTATAACTGTTAGCTATTGGTGACTGAACAGTGAAGTTGGTCTGAAAAATTCTGCGCAAAGGGTTTTCCAGTCCAGCTTTCAAGTGCCAGTCTTCGTAATTGCTATATTCAGATAACATATGCATAGTTGAAAACAATAATTTTGGTCAAAATCAACATGCTTTACATTTCTCCCTAGTTTTCCTCAAATCTTTGGTAAGCTACGCCTAATGTTTTTTTTACCAGAAGAAATTACATGTCACGATGTTCATTGGTTTTTCCAGGGAGTTGGGTTTTGTGCTGAAAGCTTCTTAAAGAATGCAAAGCTTGAATGCATTCCATTCTCAAGTGATTGGGAATGTCATTGGTATGGTCAGGGTGTAAATCTTGCAGATGAAGAATGGCTTGACCTTTAAAAAACTTTTTCTTTAAAAATAAAAAGGCTCTACAAACTCCAGACAAGCTTACAGTTTTAAGAATTTTGGCTAGACCAAGTTCTAAAGCAGGTTGTGATTCAAAGCATATTGAATGAAGGGTCTTTCTGGTTTTCAGCTTTTGTATATTTCTGTAATGCTTTGCTCATTTGTTTTCACAGGGCAGTTTCCTCAGACATTTTTTCCAGCTACGGTCATTAATCACCACTGAACACGTGGGTTATCTGATCTTCTGTGGTTTTTTGAAGCAGGTACGTTGGCAGGGAAATCTCTGATGTTTTATTGGTTGGGGACGGGGGGGATGACAACTTCATCTATGTGCCAGAAAGAATTGTAGGGTTAGGGAAATTCTGCTTAAGTAACATTTAATTATGTGTAGCATATTAATGTAGCTTTCTTCAGAAAGCAAAGTTGGTAAGTACTTTGATAAGATTTTTCAGTCCTTAATTTGTAAAGATAGATCGTGCTGTCTTCTGGGCATAGACTAGCTTTCTAAGTGGTTCTGGAAATTTACTGATATAATATATGCTGGGTAGTATTCTCATCCTAAACCATGTCTTATAAAAGCTTTATGTAACAGGAACAGAGATATGTTAAAGTTTTTTTCATGCTGGGGTCTCAGTACTGTCTTAAGACTTCTATCTTTCTACTTTGATGTCATCAAGTAGGAAAAGCTGTGGTGGCTGAGGCTATCGCCCAAAATAATTGTGCAGTGTACAAACACCAAAGTGCTGTTGCTCTTTAATCTTAATTTAACCTCTTTATACATATTTTTTGATAGCTTTTGAGCCATATTGAGTGCTTTTTCCCCTGTGTTGCTTACTAGCTTTGTGAAGCATTCGCTGAATGGGCAGGCTTTAGTATTTTATTCCTTCCTGTTAAATAGGTAGCTTCATGATAAATCCATCTTGGCTGAAGTTTACTTTAGAAGAACCAGGTTTAGATAGGAATTTCCATCACCCCTTTTTAAAGTTTGAAAAATTAATAAACAACTGGAAGAGTATTATGATGGAAAACAATGAATAATGACGTGTATAAACTACAAATCTCTTGTAATATCTGATGTGTAGAGGAATGCTGAAATGTGGTCTTCCTAGCTGCCATGGGGGCAGCCGTGGCATTTTCTTGGTGCTTGTGTATGGTGCCACCTATTGATAGGTATTCCATATAATTTGTTCCACTTTTAAACTATAGGTGTGTTACCACATTTCTGGTTTTTGCTGTTCTGCTTTTTCTTTTCTAAATTGATTTCTTTGGCTACTAGTACAGCACCTTCCCTCTTCAAGTGACAATATTAAAAAAAAAAAGTATGTATTCGTATAATATTAAGAACCAGTCACAACCTTTCAGACTTACTTGGTATCTTGATAAACGTTTATTGTTTTATCAGTCTCTGGATATGCATAACTTAACGTCTCTTGCTCACTGTCTTATTTTGTTCATTGTCTTACTATTGACATCACTTGTTAGCACTCAGTAAATTGCACTGTGGAGTATATGCTTAGTAACATAATCTAGTCTACTTATCTGAGTTGACACTACACAAAAATATGGGATCATTTTATTCCCCCTGCAGAAAGCAGTTTGCTGATTATAGAAAAAAAAATGTGATCACCTTGCACATTTACAGGCTGCAGGTTTCCAAGCAGAACCAGCGTAATGCAAATCTTCCCACTGGAAACTTAGTCAAGCAGGACTGGTGATATAGCTTTCTCCACTTTTTACTACTGGTATCTTCATGCTAAGTAATGTGGGTGGTAAAGCCTATCCCAGCAGCTGCTGCTTAAGTTTGCATTACTTCTGACTCACTCAGGAGGGCCTATGTGTAATTTTAAACTGTTTCCACACCCAGATTACTTTCCCTTAAAAGTAATAATGAAAATAAAGCGAGGGGAGAGGTTGGTAATGACTACAGGAGAACATTACATGGAAAACAGTGTGTTTGAACCTGCTGTGATACAGTCTTCACTAAGCATGCCTCATGTGTAGTGTATTTCCTTGGTTACTAAGGCTCAGGAAAGCAGATTCATAGCTTAGTATAGGACCAGACCCAGTTCGGTGAATGAAAACTAATTGGAGAACGGTTCTGGAGCCGCTTCTCCGAGCTGTGCATGGTGGAAGAATGGCTGGCTTACACCTCCAGCCACAGATTCCTTAGTAGGGGTTATGTTTCTCCAACACCCAGTACTTCCAAGAGGTTAGTTTAGTTTGTTACGCTGCTGTACTAGTGTATTATTTGAAGCACCATTATTTTCTAAATTTGAAGTTAAGGTTTTTACTATTGTTGACTGAATAAACATGCTCCGATATAATTTTTAATAGCAGCTGAAGAGTGTGCCTGAACATTTTTTTTGTCTTGGTAAACACCCTATTGTGGAACTTAAAATAATTACCAGATACTCATACAACAAAGTATAATCATGCTCTGCGCTATGGAATTTAGATAGCATAGTCTGTTTATTCCATAACGTAATTATTTTTTATTAAAATAGAAAAGCAAAACTTCAGCTTTTAAATGATACAAGAAAAGATAATAAACTCTACTCCTTCCCTGCTCCTCTTAGTTCTTCTTTCTCTCCAAAACTATTTAATAAATCTTACGAACTTTTACAAAAGTGCAGTGGCTTTTCTTATATGATTATAAAAAGGAAAAAAGAAAAAAGAGGAGAAAGACTTAAGAGTTTAGATATCGTCCAGCTTTTGTTTAGCCACTGCAAGCTTGATGGCTGTGCATTCTGCATCCTGTTTTCATACTTGTGCTTGTATGTATGGTTGTGCTTATTTATGGGAAAAAACAAAACCACAGACTCTTCTGTCAGGGTGATTCTTTCATCTAGCTGTTAGAATTCTTTTTCTACTCATGCAGTAATGTAACAACAGATAATGAGCTAGTAGGGATGTGAACATCAGCCTCTTTGAATGTTTGAGTTGCCCAATTTAGCTGTTCAAATTTTTAAGGATTTCTCTGATGAAGCATGAGATTCCTTACACTCCCAGGCTATTAAGTGGTCTGCCCACTGGTGAAAAATAGGTAATTTGGAAATTAAACTTTTCCTATTATTCCTATTATACTCCATTACCTATTTTAGTTTGTCTTTACCTATTTTAGTTTGTCTTTTTCTGACCTTGTATCTTCAGGAAACCCAGGAGCTGGCAGGAGGGGAATGAACCGTGAGGGTGTCCCCGGAAAGAGTCCGGAGGAGATGTATATTCAGCAGAAAGTGAGAGTCCTACTCATGCTGAGGAAGATGGGGTCAAATGTAAGATACACTGTCATAGCCCATATTTTGTGGCTTTCCAGACAATTTTGTAGTAACTGGGATAGTGCTTACTGAGATGGGCAGGTGATGGTCTGGTTTTATCACCGAATTGTTATAGCCACCATTGATTTAACCGTTATCTGCAGTTAAACACAATTAATTTTTGCTTAAATATTATGAGGCTTGTGATGCCTGAAACTAAATCTGAGCATCTGATCATTTCTCTATATACAGTAAGTTCTTCATTATTGGAAAATCAGCAAAATAAAGCAACTCTTTTAAGGCGACTTTGAATCTCTCCATGAATGCATGATGTACCAGTTTGCTGCTGTGTCCTTGCTGATGGTATCCTTTGTACAAATAACAGCTGATTAAACTGTTGAAGAGCAGAATAGAGGCAACTGTGACGTTTCTTATTGGGAAGTGGGAGATAGTATTTTCAGTCTTTCTTCATTTTCCTTTTTGCTGACTCACTCTTTGTACATTTCCAGCTGACTGCTAGTGAAGAGGAGTTCTTGCGCACGTACGCGGGTGTAGTGAATAGCCAACTTAGCCAGCTTCCTCAACACTCAATTGATCAGGGTGAGTACTGGATTTGTTTGTCTTGTGTTTATTTAATCTGTGAGAACAGCCTCAGAAAATACCAAATATAGGTTCCTGTATTTCTGTAGTCATATGCTACCTACTTAAACCTATCCTACAATCTGGGATATGCAAGTCATTGCCTGCAGCGATCTTTGGAAGAGAACTAGAGTGTACTGTTCAACAGGGGGTTTTATTTTAACGGGTAAAGTCAGTCTTGGCTATACCTAAGATTCGTTAGGATGAAGAGCATTGTTAAACATCTTATTCCCCATGATAACTCAAGACATTGATGGCCAAAGTCCTGTGAACTAAATGCATGTGTATAGCTTCCTACTCTATGTAATACATGAAATAGAAATAAATTTTAACCTGATTGATTTTTTGCTATAGGTGAAGTTAAATTCAGGTATGCATAAGTCCCTCTAGTTCTGAGTGTGTCTTACTGTATACAGTATGGATCCTCTGCATTAGATGACTTTCATCTAAATTTTTATGTTTATTCTTAAACTGGACATCTGTGCTTAAAAAGGAGCAAGACTGAGGGGTGGCAAGCACTTTCTTTGTACGCTTCAAACTGGGAGTTTCATAACAAAATAAAATGTAAAGTAGATACAGATTTCTAAGGTACAAAAGCAATTTGTTATGCGCATGATAATTTAGTTACTATGACTCTAGTAGCTTGATAACACTTTTCTCAAAAAATAACATGGAGTCGTCTAACAACATCTTTTGGTTTTCACATTTCCACGAATGTGGAAGTAAAGTGCCATGTTACTATTTCAGCAAAGTAAGAGGGAAAGTTTAGCAATAGGAGGAATTTGTTTCCCATTGCATTTCTTCAATTTGCACAAGGTAATTAATTCCCGGACAGGGGTAGTAGACGTGAAATAAGTTTACAAATCTACTTTGGTTTGTTTAGATTCCCATTAAGGGAATGAAGTACTTGCTGCTTTTGTGAACTCTTTGCATAAGTCTTGGTAAACAATTGTGTGGCGCTACTCTGAATCTCTTTTGAACCTGAATGTTTCTTTCTGAATTTTTTTTCCTCCCCTTCATAGGCCTTGTGCCAGATCACATTCATAATGTAGAATTTCGTATTGAAGGAAAATTGTAAGACTCTTATGCCAGAAAGAACTGAGTTGAGGAGAAATTTAATATAGATCTAAGACATTTAGAAAACCATTAGAAACACAACGTGCACAAACTTGCTCTTCAGTTTTAAGCCTGTGTGTTCATTCCTCACATAGCTGGGGGATTGATGGGGATAGATATACTTGTATATTTTGGCTCAGAATTCTTAAACTTTTCTGCCAGTCTAAAGTGAAAATTTGCTGGTTTCTCATCAAAAACTGAGGTAGACATATTCAGGTAAGAAAGACTGTCTTAGTTGCAGTTGGCATTTTTCAGCATTATCCCTTAAAGTAGTTACATTTCTAACAATGAAAATATATGCTGAATTACCTGCACTTTGGCAAAGGAGAGATAATAAAAATAGAAGTCCAGCCAAGGGACGCAGATACTTTGTACAGCTATGCTCCTGCACAGCTTGATCTAAGTTTCTTGTCTAAAATGTCTGGTTTTATTATCTATAAAATTATATTTTCTCACTTTGCAGAGGGCTTTGAAGACTCAAAAAGTTACATTTAAAAGTTATGTCAAAATTCAATCAAAAGAGAGACCAACAGTTACTTAGTCTGCTTCTAGACTCACGAATCATGCAATACAGGAAATGTAAGAGCCTCATACATTGTTCAGAAGGTTGTCTTTGTCCCATATTTGAACAGATGCTAGCTGATTTCTCTGTCATCGTTTTCTTAAAGTCCTTGAAGATTCTTAAAACTTTGTCCACAGGGAAGTGAAGTCCTCCCTGTTGATGCTTGCTTTGATCTAATCTGAGACACTGCTGTCTTTCCTGAGAGATTTGACCCCACAGTCTACCTTCGATCCTCTCAAATTATAATTAAGCTGGTGGTCTGACCGTTAAGATTTTTCTTGGTAGGGGAAAGAAGAACAAAGAAAGAAAGTAGTTAAATATTTAGAGAAGTGGGAAAGGATGTTGGTTCTTTTCATATAAAGATATGCCAGCTCTCCAAATTAAGTAGTGAATAGCATGAAGGACAAATGAAAATGAAGAAACCTAGCCAAATACATTTTCCTTTGGAGAAAGATGAAGCTATAGTATGCTGTATAGACAGAGGCAACTATAATTTATTGCGCAGGATTTTGATTTCCGAAGAAATCTCTCCAGATTTCTAACAGTCGGTTATGATAATGTTGCTTTTTGCTCTTAGGTGTGGTGGCTCGCGCAGCAGCAATCATTGCTGGCTGTCTGTACCTTTGCTATATCCTGGTGTTGGTGAAATAGGAAGGGTTGATTATTGGAAATAGAGAATAGAAATTGCATGGGTGTCCAATTTGCCATCTTAAGGGAGATTCCATCTCCACTAGATGGCATTATCTTGCGCTGAAAAACCCCCTCCCAGGTCCACACACTGAGGTACTTGAATGTTTTGTGTTCTTCAAGATTCCTTAAAGGAATTTTCTTCCCTACGTTTCTGCTGTTTTCATTGAATCTCCTCTGGAGGATTTTGGTTTTTTCTTTTCCTTTATGCAACTTGCCGTACACAACAACTAAAAGGTGTGTTATTTAAGGAGTAACTTACAAAGAGTTAGTATGGTAGTGGATTTCACAATCTTTTCTTCCAATAGCAGGACAGATTGCTCTCAGCCTAACTTCTCCCAGACCTATCTTTAGAGTCATTTTCCTCCAGCAGACACACAAAAGACAAAAAGCTGATTTCATACCCCCATTTCGTTCCAAAAAAGGGAGTGACATTCTTGGCCTTAACACTTTAAAAGCTTTGTTATAGACCTGCAATTTTTTGTGTGTCACTTAAAAATGCTGTAGTCTGGCTCCAGAATTACAGGAAGGTCATTTTGTTTCTTTTTTTTTTTTTTTTTTTGAGAAGAGTACAGAGGACAGATGGTCTAGAATTTTGTGAGTGTATCACAGTCTCTATTACAAGTTTTATGCTTTTCTTTGTTGCGCATCCATGAAATACTGTCTTAGAACAGCTGGCTGGTGACCTCATAGTAGTTACCTGAGGAAGGACTGCTGAGCTTATCGCTGTCGGTGCTCCCTACTATGGTTTCTGATAAAGATCTGTCAACTTCTTTGTTGAGTCTATTTGTTTGACCACAGGGAGTCACTGCAACCTATGTGTCCAATATATATTTGCAGCAGTGTGACAGTGCATTGAAGAAAGAAGTTAACACTTGTCCCTGCTGAATTCAAGTGCTTGTGCTATAAACCTTCAGAGAGCCACTATTAATAACCATATCTCTGACATTTAAAGTTCCTCCGTGATACTCTGCTTACTGTCTTAGGGTTCAGCAATAGAAGTTAATTGCTAATTTTGATCAAGAAGCATCTTAGAATACCTCTGTAATTTTTAAGCAAGCCTGAAGTCTTGTGCTTGTTTTTATAGGAAGAGGAGATAGTAAACTCTTCATCTTTTTATTTCCCATCTTGCTTTCAAAAGGAATTAATCAGTTCAGACGTACAAAATCACTGTGTTTTAGGATTGTTTACCGATCTCCTTTTACATTTGAAACACACATTTGGAACACCTTCGCTCTTGAAGCATCTACATGGTATACTGTTGAAGTGAATCTTGTTTCCCTGACAGGAAGCTCAAAGTTACTCTTACTGCATTATTACTGAGTATCTTTGTGTAAATCAGGTAATAATGAGATATGTCCAGGGCTCTCTAATGTGTAGCAGATACCAAATTGAAATTAGTGCAAATCTTCCTAATATGTGTTCGAAACTCTTTACATTCATAGCCGCAACATATATTAGAGCAACAGATCTGTGAAGGGATCTTAAGTGACCACAACATGCACTCCAGTCTTAAAATAGTCATCTTTTTTTTTTTTTAATTCCAGCTCTATTTGCCCTTTCTTTTCAGTGTATTCCAGAATCTCAGAAAGTGCTTAGTCCCTCAGCGTGTTGACTTTGATACACTTCCCTAGAGGTGCTGTTTCCCTAACACAGGCTACAGTCCACCAAGAGCAAGGAACGTTTAGGCAATTCGGATGTCTGGATTCTGTTCATAGCTTGGTATTTTAGCTATTTTTATTAATGCTTTGTCCTGTTTACTCATTCTCTTCTTCAACTGATCCAGACAGTCGTGTTGCATCCATGACATCCAGAGGCTTATCTGATGTATTAAAAATACTTTATTATCCATTGAAAGGTGAACTGCTAGCAGAGGGGATGAGATCTCAGTAACCCAGGAAAGCCTGAGCAACAGTTATAAAACTCTAAGCTGAAGTATTTAATACTTAAATTTAGTATTAATTAAGACACTAAACATTAATGTCATGCTCACATTTTTTAATAATCGTTTTATTTTTCGATCATTGCTGTAATGTTAACACCTGTATGAAAGTGCAAAATATAGGACATTTTTCTTTACTCAAGTTGCTTTTTAGCTGACATCTCTGGGTTGTTTGTTGTTTTGTTTTTATGGCTCCAGGAATAACTGAGGAACCCGAAGGCATCTCTATTCAACCAGTGTATACGCTAGAGAGTGGATGTAATCATGAGCTGTTTTGAGATATTAACATATTAGTTGTCTTCCCCGCATTGCAGCAAGAACTCATGCAGCTCAGACTCATCAGGTTTCTTGAGCTTGAAATGATGAAACTGAGGCTTTCTCACATATTTTTAATACAAGCAAAATGCCTCTCAGGAAGTTATATGCACAGAAGTGTCCCCTGCATAAAAAACATATTTCCTGTTTCCCAGTTACTTAACGTTTCTAAATGGTAGGCTAGCACTTGGCTTTCTTAAGTCGCTGCTCTGGCAAATCTGTAAGTGGAAGCTGTGCAGCTCGTAAGCATGATATGTGAATTACACTAAGAGCTTGGTGATTACAGCTCTGTTGTTCCTATAGCAACAGGAGTGTCGTGCTGGTTCTTGAAGAAAGCTG